TTCTTGTGTCATGTATATCCTGGATATTTGCTTCTCTGTGTGAATTCACCCCTTGTACTCCGTTAATATTTGTCCCAAATTCTCTACTTAAAGATTGAAAGTATTCTGTTTTTTAGCAGTTTCGACTTATGAGACTGAGGTGGTTGCATAATTTTTATGCAGTCTTATCTTCGTCGATTCTCCTCTACCGCTTAGAGATTATGCACCATTATCTGTATCTAATGCTCTATTTTCTAGACACCGGCAAGCTCTCTTTCTAGGGGCATGTAAAACTATGCAAATTTGCGTCAGGTGACTTATGTGACATGCGCTTTGGAAGCACATATTTTGTCTCAAAATATTTAGGTATCTAGGTAACTAGACGAAAGCCTAGTTTCTTATAAAAGGAAAGTAGTAAATCAATTACTAAGGAGTTTTGACAGATTTTGAGCAATTAATTTGACTCTTTTTTGAAAAACTCGGTGATATTCAAACCTACACATCGTAGCTCAGTTGGTTGGAGCGTTAGCTGTATTAAAGCCTCATCTTGCTGGTGTGGATTCGAGTCCCACCGAGGTTTTCACGCCTGGGTCAAATTAATACTAGATAAATACTTTCTTTTTTGTAATATAGGATAGTCTTCATAAGGTCGTCGAAAGTCAATGAAGAAAATATGCGTATACTTCGTCACAGATGGCATTTTCAATCAAAAGTCATTCTGTCTCTGTATAGCGTAACGTTCAATGCTAATTAATCCGGCCGTTTGCTGTCGTGCTATTATTTTCCATTTTAATCCATGTCAAACTTTTTACGTCCATTGTTTCATTATTTCGATGCATGCTTTGAGCTTTCACATTTAGCTTAATTGATTTTATCCGGCCTTAAAAGATTTTTCATTTCAAGTACAAATTTTGTTTTACTTACGATTTCTTGGGAAACTTTTTCCCCTATATATGAGTACGCACTTTAACTTCGTGTAGAAAACCGTTTTTTTCTAATTTTCCATTCTAGCATTTTCACCAGCGTATACATTTTGAAAAAAATGTGCAAGCTTGAATTCCTGCATCTCTGTCGGGGTTTGGAAGACATTTATCTGCAGGATCTCTATAACGTTAGGGAACTGCAAATGAATTCATAAATATTTCAGTGATGATACCCATGTAAACTTTCAGGAAGTCGGGTTAGGCGAGCGAACGTTTTCGATTATTCATCATCAGGCTAATACAGTAATATAACGAATGGTAGAGTTAACAAAAGTTTAAGCAACCAATCAGTGGTTATTAGGGGGAGAGATTTTAAGGCATCAAAGGGGTCAGATTCTAGTCATACTTTGGGACCAGTTTGCGGAAGGGGCTTCGACAATTAGTTCGTGTCGCCCCGTCGTTCGTCTCGCGGTCACGGAAATAGGAATCCCCCTCCATTGCGTGAAATTCCAGTAAGGGTAACCGTAATCGAGTCATAACATTAACCTAAACCATAAATCT